AGTGATGTCATGTTGGTCATCATCGTATTAACATTTCTTGCACTTTCAAAATCGGTCAGTTTTGCGTTGACTTTATCATTTGGATTGTTAGAAAACACAAGTAAATTGTTTAATTTAATATCTCTGTGTAAAATCCCATTTTCATGTAAATATGAAATACCATTTGCGCCATCCAACATCATTTTAACACGAAGTTTTATGTTAATTATCACTTGTTTTATGTTTCAATAGATCTTGTAAACTCCCAAATTGTGCAAATTCGGTGACTATGCACACTTTATTGGGTATAAAAACTGCTCCATAGAAATGGACAATATATTCATTCTAAATTTGTCTAACATCTCAACTTCCTTCTCAAACTCATTGTTTAATGTGTCTTCATTTCCACTAATTTTCATCTTTTTAATTGCAACGATATTGTCTCTGAAAGTTCCTTTAAACAACACCGAACAAGCCTTCACCAAGTTTAGTGTCTTCTTGTAACTCATCTGGATCAAGTCGAGTTGTCAATTTTGAAGTTGCTGCTATTTTAATTTCTTTTGAAACATCTTTTCTTTTTGTAAATGAATTTGAAACCAATATGATATTTTCATCAATTTTAGTTGTGCATTTTAATGTGAACATAATTTCAAATTCACACGCTTCACCACTTGGTAATACTATTATTTTTGGATTTGAGTCGAATTCATATTTCTCAATTGTTGCACTTTTTGTCGTGATTTAAATTTTCATGTTGTGCTTTGAAGTGTTGCCAACACACAGAAGTTCTCTTTGTTGTGAGTTGACATCAATTTCCTCGCCAAAAGAAACTTCCGTTTTGTTCACAACGACATCATCACCAACTGGTATAAAAGTAATGTTCGAGCGACTCATTTTGAAGAGTGTTGTTGTTTTCTCAATTTCTTTTTGTCGCATTTTGTTTTCAATAAACAACACAACACACGATATTAATGTTATTACAATTGTTAAGACAAAAAGTGCACAAAATGACTATAAAAAGAACCGACCAAACTACCTTCTTGTCACAAAGTGTGCCACTTTGTTAGGAAAGTGCCAGAATGTGCATTTGGAACATTTTGAGTTTAAAACTTGGAGACATTTTGATACAAATGAAATATCAATACAAAGTCCACTTTCATATAAAATCATGTTGTTAACACAAGATGTGCATTTCCCGTATGGTGTGCATATTGTGCAATTGTTGTTACACCTTTCACACTCGTTGTAATTGACTGTGTAATATCCACGCAAACATTTGTTACACCCATTTTGTGTGACTTCAACAACACACCCAATGATTCTGTTTTATGGCAAACAGTCACCGCTATTTGTTTTGTAATTCGTCAAATTGCATGCCAAACATTTATTTTTTGTGTTACACGTTGAGCAATTTAAAAGACATTTTAAGCAGTCCATACCAACTCTGTAATACTGGTCTTTGCATTGATAACACCCAGTTGTAATTGTTGATACATTGTCACATTTATTTAACAGTTCAGTGCTTGGTTGGCATTGATAAATATCACTTTGGTAAAATCCAGACTTACATGATAGACACTTTGTACCACTTTCATGGCAACTGGTGCAATTTTCAGAACACAAATAACAACGGGCATTTGACAGGTAATACCCAACTGCACACGAAATGCATGCATATTTATAATATGTTACACAAACGGTTGTTGAAGTATCGTTTGTAATATTTACACAAGTTCTGTTAATATTAAGAATGTATTTATTTTCACATTCAACACATTTATTGTTCACAATATACACGCATTTGTCTTTTTCTAAAATAAACATCCCATTCTGTTCAGTAAACGTTTCATTCTGACAAATAAAATATTCACACTTTTTCTCATAAGTAATTGTATAATTCACTTCACATGAAATTGTGTTGTGTTTATCGCAATTCAAGGAATTTTCAAATTTGGATAAACACGTGTTGCAAACACCATTGTCTATGTAAAACATATCATTGCAACCAATTATCAAAACTTTATTTGAAACCACATCTATCTTTTTAACACATAAAGTTTCATTGTTTAAAATAAAGTTATTGTTACAAATAAAACACAAATTATAACCACATAAAGTACAGTTTGATGCACAGCTCTCACATTTGTTATATGAATTACCCGCATGATATTTTATACAAACACTTCCATCACTGTATTGACATTTGGTATCAAACACACATTCATTATTATTTCTAATATATCCGTTCTGACATTTGTAACAATTTGTTATTGTGCCATATAAACACGTTTCAGAAGAAATACACTTGGAATTATCATTTAAAACATACCCACTTTTGCATAATACACACTTGTTGTTTTTGTTGTATGTCCCACAGTTTATAACAAGAGAAAAACACTCTCCATTGTCATTCAAAAAATCAGAGTGACAAACAACACCTGTTATTTTATTATTAGTCACTTTAACAAGAAAGCAATTGCTAATTACATTATTATCACTAACTTTTTCTAATAATATAAAAGTCTTATTATTTTCACTAAAATCAATTGAATAAATTCGACTTAAAGTCGTGTTTTTAGAAATTACAATGTTTGTATTTTCATACAAAACGAGTGATTTGATGTTTCCAATACAATCAATTTGCAATTTTGTGACGTTTTGGTATAAAGTGAAGTTGTAAATAGAATCACAATTACAAGTTATTGTATTCAATGAAGTTGAATACAAAAATGAAGCATCTACCATATCAAACTCCTCGATTACACTGGTTGTAACTATTCGAAAAGTAAATGAAATTACCAAGTCTTTATTATATGATAATAATACCAATTTTTTATTATCAAAAAGAGTAATTTTTTAACACTTTCAGAGAAATAAAGTGAAATGTTATTATCAACCAACAATTCAGTGTTACTTAGATTGTTATCGAACATATTAAACATTTTAATATCACTAATAAACTTGAGTTTGCAATTTACATTAATATCGTCATTACACAGACAATGTGGATAATCAAAAGCATTTTCCATATTTGTTGGTGAGTTTGGTGTGTACATTGGTTTCTTTAAAGTACAAACAACGTCTTTGTCAAGTGGAGTACCTTGTGGGCAAAATCGTATTAATTTTTTATTAGAAATCAAGTACCCTTTCCCATTTGTAAAATTATAGAAATATTCAAACATGTCTGAAATGATGTGATCGAAATTGGCAACAGTCCCTAAATTATATGCACTATTCAACGAAATTGTATCAAAACATTTGGTGTTTCCTGTTTACAGATGGGGTTTTTTTGCCGCGGTCATTTTTGATGCCAAAACAACAGTTAACAACAAAACTATAAAATATTAAAATGTATAGTATACAAATAAATGGTTTATTAATATAATATTTATACCATATAAAATAAAACTATTAATTATAATTGATAATATTATAAAAAATAAGTAATTGTTGTGAAATTAAATGTAACAATTTAATAATAATTTAATTTATTAAAATAAAATTTGTCATTAACCATACTTCCTCTTAACACAGTTACGTGAAATCAACCATAACAAAGCTACTGTGTGATTAGTTGTTAAAATTAATATATTGTTGCTTTTCATCACTTTCAAACACCAGATAGTGGTTTAATATAATAAATTAATAAAGTAAAATGGCATAGAATGGACTATAACAAAACGTTGAATCACGATACTTAATGTTGTTGATAAAATTGGGTTGTTTTATAAACGTGCAATACTTTGATTAAACAGAAAGGTTATTATTTGTTGGAAAACAAGTGGAACTACTCTGTTTATCATTGATGCATTAACAGAGTGTTTGAAACAAAACAATTTCAAATATCTTCATTCTATTGTTTAGTCTTTTTGTTTGTTTTATCAAAGCTATTATTGAATCATATATTTATTATATTTATTATATTTATTAGTAATAATTTAACTCGCCAACAACCCAATACTGCTCTTTTTAACAGTTTTTTAAAAATTTGTCCCAAAACTGTTTAAATAATTTTGATATATTATTAGGTGATTTTCCTGAAAAAATAGATAAAAACAAATAATATAAAATAATCATAATGGAATTATTTTTATTTTTTATACCAAAAAATCGTTTTGTGCATTTATTTTTTTATATAAAAATTTGAAAGCAAAACATAACAAAAATTACAACCAAAATAATATAGAGTTGGTGGAAAAAGTCTGTTTTAGCAAAGTATAGTAAAATATAATTTTTATTGTTACAAGTAAAAAATTATTTTATATTATTTTTAAAACATTAATTAAAACAAAAAATAATTAAAAATACTTGTAAAACCAAACAATGGTTGATTTTTAAATATTTATGTTAATAAAATAAATGTTTCGGATACGTAATATAGTTGTGTTGTTGTGGTTGTATTAACCCATAAACAGTCAATTGCGACCACTTGATGTTTGTTTTTAAAATTAAAATGATGATTAAGTAAGTATAAAAGAAAGCAAATATGAAAGTTATCAAATTAATCATTTGATTTATTATTTAATAAGTACAACACAATTCAACAATAAAAAAACTTAAATGTAGCATTTTGAAACAATTTATTTATTACAACAAATTTGGATTTTTAAATATATTAAAGAAACCCACAAAACGCAGCAAACGTTTAAAAATTGTCACACATACAATTCACCCATAAATTGAATCATTATCTATGTGAAAGTGTCAATGTGTAAAATCTACTGAGATTGATTATGCTAATAACTTATAGTTTTTAAATATTCAATTTCTGTATTTAATTTCAAAAAGGTGTTTCATTATCTAAATTGAATTTGTGTCCTGCTCGAAAGTTATATAAATTTTAAAAATATAAAAATACAAACAATGACTAATAAAAATGGTTATTTATTTTAAAATATAGTTAATCTTATCGAGATAGACTATTATATACCAACTCTGAGAAAATTATTCATAAAATCTAAAGACAATGATAAAAGAACACATAACTAACGTGAAAATTGATGTTTTTGTTTGACAAAACAAATAAATTATAATAATCGTAATAAGAAAAAAAACACGATTAATTATTTTCACTAAATGACGCATTGATAATAGCGATAATTATTAACATTGAGTAACATGCTTTTGTGTTATAGTGAAAATGATGAGTCGAAACAGTTGTAAATAATATAACAATAAAACAAATCTATTATGCATCGCTTTTGCAGACAGTGATGTTTCTTCAATTGATTATCAAGCAACCCAAATATAAAGAATAATAATAATTTTAAAATTTTAATTGACAATAAAAGATAAATACTCATAATGTAAAAAACAACAAAAATTAAAAATATACACCAAATAAATCATCAAAAAAGCATTGATAAACAAAGAAGTTTGATTTTTTGTTGTTTGAAAAATTATAAACATAGTTATGGTTTACCTTATTCATTTTAAACACTCTTTTCAATAGATTATTAAAATAAGTAACTGTATACATCTACTTGTCAAAAGTCATTAACAAACAATTGGTTAAACAGTCCACATATTTGACAAAAAGTCAGACAACAATATAAAAAATATGTGGATTATATGTAATTGAAAGAATTTGTTATAAAAACAATAATATATTTGACACTAAAAACTGTTTTTAATGATTGCTTGTTATATTTTAATTTCTTTTGATAAAAACTCTTTAAAAGATTAGTCACAGTATGGTAAATACCAAAAGATGATATATTCTAAACAGAAAAAAAACAGTAAAAAATCTTGCTACATCGTACTGTCTGAAAAAAATACACAGTTAATAAAATGGGCTTTTTGAAAAATTTTTATTTTTTATAAAGACTATTATGTACAAAAATTTTATATGTTAACATTAATTATCATTGATGTGTTCATTTATTATTTGCAATTTGTATTTCATTTCAACTCAAAACCAATAGTTTTTTGTTTAGTGTATAAAAACATATTTATTTGTTTTGGAATAAATGTTATTACATTTTACCAGTATTCTTATTTTGCCATTATTTACGTTTTTGTCATGAAATTTTATATTTTTTTTCATTTTTTTCACATTTTATTTGTTTTTTAGTTCAAAAATTGAACTCGTTATTCCATTTTCATTTTACTATAATTGAACTACACTGTATAATATAATTTTTTTCAAAAAAACAAAAACACTGCTCTTTTTAACAGTATTGGTTTGTTGGGGATTAGGTATGTCGGCGAGTTAATTGAAAAGTGTCAATCAGTATGTTTGTTGATGTGTTTTAATATAGATCACAATTAAATTATTTAAAATTAACAATTATGATATTAATTATTGATTTTATTTATAAAATGTTAAAGAATATTATATAAAAGTATAATAAAAACAAGTCAGTGGAAAAAAATCTGGCTTGTTTTAAATTATAATAAAATATAATATTTATTGTTATATGTTATAAACTATTGAAAATATTTCAAAAATAAAATGAAAAAACAAAAATAATTATAAAACTGTTGTTCGAAATTATTACAATACACCTCGATAAAATTGATATTTTGAATATGAAAACGGAGTTTCGTAATGACAGAAAAGTCCTTGAAATGGCTTGCAAAAACGGAGCTCCGAGACGGTGAATTCTTCGCAACGACGTACAGCTGGTAAGATGTGACATATGTGGGGTTTGTTGAACCGCATAGTGGTTATTTAAGGACGAAACAACAAACAACGAATTAGAAAATTGGAGATTTCTTGTTGTGTCGAGATTGGAAGAATATTATTAAGCCAGACTATTCGATTTGGGAGGAAAGCATGGACTTTTTTAAGTATCCCACTGCAGTACTATGGATTCACACAAATTCAAGGCCACCACAGATTGTTGGCGACTGCTATGGTTGAGAAGTATTATAAAAATACTAAAAGAGCCAAATTACTGAGAAAGAGACACGAGACCTATCAATTTCATTTGAGAGATTGTTCTGGAATGAAGAGAAAAGGTACTTCGTTTAAGCCATTTGACAGGACAACAAAAAGTGATCGTTGATACATAGACTGCGACTGTGATGTTCAGTGACATTGTAACTGATCAAATAAAGATAAAAACACTTTGATAACATCAGAAAGTTCAACACCAAACTTGAACACGGACTTGCAAGATATCCACAAGACTCATACTTCTATTCATCGGAGTGGAATATTGGAAGAAAAGAAGTCGGTGAAGCAAGTTTTATATGGGAGAAGCTGTAGACTGAATCACCAACACCCGATTATGCCGTCAATGCCTGATGAATACAAACACTCAGGTGTATGTTATGACAACGCTTCAGAATCAACAACTCTTCCACTCTTTGATTATAAAAAGCTGTAATTTGGTAGTTTCGTAATTATTGTTATACTATAACATAATACGTGTGTTGATATAAAATAACATAATATTAGTATTAGTACAGTATATTAAATTATATAAAATGGAATAAATTGACTGATACTCAATGATGATCATTGGAAAATACTTTGCAAGTGTCAAAGATTTCAAAGTTGTTATGATGGTCAGTTGAAAATTCAATTTATTGGGTGAAATGTACCTATTTAATCCACTTTTGTACATTTAACACCACTCGAGGAAAAAAATTGTTCCCAAACATCGAGACTTACCATCTTTATTCAAAGAGTGATTTTGACAATAACTTTCCAAAAAGGTCATTTTTGATTTAATGACTTACGAAGACACATTGGTCTTTCACAGAACATCGAGTGCACAAATGTTGTGTTTAGTCGAGAAGATGTCAAACTTTTCAATGGTGAAATACCAACAAAAGAGGTGCAGTCGTTGTCATCTTCATGTTTCAAATCATCAACTGAACAACTTCAGTCTGGAACCTTTTGGAACATAAAAATTGGAATATTTTGGGAAGCAGTCCCAAAAGTCTATCTTAATTGTTTTAGGTTCTTTGTTGTTGTACCTAATTCCAATTGTTTAGACAAAATTAAAGCTATTTTTGTCCATAATGTTCGAGACTATATAACACCAAAAGACTGAGTCTATAAACAATATTATATTATATTATTAAGTTTTTAAAAATAAACATATTATTAATAGTATTTATATTATTATTTACCGTAAGTTGATATAATAAATTAAGATATTGTTGCTATAGTTTATTTTGTTATAACCTAACTGTTAAAACATTGAAACTTTTTAATTTAAAATTTTAA